ATCAGAGGCTTTTAAAAGCATTTTTTCCACAGCTGCTTCGGCCAAAGAGGTTGTAAAAAAAATGTTTTTAAAAGAGAAAAAAAGCCTCTGACGATCAGGCAACTCGCTGGGATCGTCAGAGGCTTTTAAAAGCATTTTTTCTACAACCTCTTTGGCCGAGGAGGTTGTAGAAAAAAATGGTTTTAAAAGTAAAAAAAAAAAAAGAAAAGTTGGCCACGCCTACCCAGTCACATTACCCCCCCAGACACCAAGCCACGCCCACAGAATGCCTTTTAAAGCCTCTGACGATCCTTGCTGAGTTGCCTGATCGTCAGAGGCTTCTAAAAGCATTTTTTTCCTGCAACAAGGTTATAGAAAAAAAAATGCTTTTAAAAGTAAAAAAAGAAAAAAGAAAAGTTGGCCACGCCCACCCAGACCCATTACCCCACCACCGAGCCACGCCCTCAAAATAAGCCACGCCCACAGAACTAGTAGTAAAAATTTTAGAAACCCACCCACCCCCGGGGTCCGAAGGTCACATGATCCCTATTTCCAGTAAGTCTGACAAGCAAAATCAACGGAGGAAGCCAGATTCGTTTAACGACCACGGCGAAAGAAGTTCATAAAATCAGTCTTAACTCACTTAATGGTCAACTTGTTTAGCAACGGGAATTATGGCCCCCGTCGTGGTCATAAGTCGAGGACTCCCTGTATGTGCTTTTGCCAGGAAGGAAGACCTCTTCAACCCACACAGGCCAACCCAAAAAATTGTGCCTAACGGACCCACAGCTCAGCTGGCACGAAAGCTTAGTCAGGCTTGCCATCTGCTGGTGGCACCTGAATAAAATGGCCGTTTTTATGATTGGAACATTGCGGGAAGTCCTTGGATGAATATAACAGAATGAGCTGGAAGGGACCTTGGAGGTCTTCTAGTCCAGCCCCCTGCTTAAGGAGGAGAACCTCAACCAAGATCCCATGAGGTACTAATACCACTCTATAAAGCCTTAGTAAGGCCACACCTGGAATCCTGCATCTAGTTTTGGTCCCCACACTATAAAAAAGATGCTGAGATTCTGGAAAGAGTGCAGAGAAGAGCAACCAGGATGATGAAGGGACTGGAGGCTCTAAAAAAATATTATTATTATTATTATTATTATTATTATTATTATTATTATTATTATTATTATTATTATTGTTATTGTTATTGTTATTGTTATTGTTATTATTTAATCTTTAGTGAGATTCACAGCCTTTGAGGCTGGTTAATAGCTCAGCAGCTCGAGTCCGAACCAAGGACCTAGGAACTGTTAAGGTATCGTCGGAGGATGTAAACTGTTCCGAGTAAGGTGGTTTTTTGTAGAGTCAAAATGTTCAAGTCCGGCAAATTTAGAATTTCTCAATAGCGGGGTAGCCCTTTGGGTATTGCTCCGAGGGCTCCAATTACAATCGGGACAACACACAATTTCTTTTTCCACAGTCGCTCAACTTCAATTTGCAAGTCCCGGTACTTTGTGATTTTTTTCTTGCTGCTTATCTTCCATCCGTGCATCACCAGGTATTGCAATGGTATTATTATTATTATTATTATTATTATTATTATTATTATTATTATTATTATTATTATTATTATTATTATTATTTCATAATAGTTCATTATATGATGAACGGTTTCAGGAACTGGGCCTGGCTAGTCTGGAGAAGAGAAGGACCAGGGGAGACAGGAGAGCATCTTCCAATATCTGAGGGGCTGCCACAGAGAGGAGGAAGGGGGTCAAGCTGTTTTCCAAAGCACCCGAAGGCCAGACAAGGAACAATGGATGGAAACTGACCAAGGAGAGATTCAACCTGGAAATAAGGAGGAATTTTCTGACAGGGAGAACCATCAACCCATGGAGCAGAAGTTGCCTTTGGAAGTTGTGGGAGCTTCATCCTTGGAGACTTTCAAGAAGAGACTGGACAGAAATAGTGCATGATCTCTTGATTGGGCAGGGGGTTGGACTAGATGACCTACAAGGTCCCTTCCAACTCTGTTCATGTTAAACTTGGGGAATTCTGGGAGTGGAAGTCCACCCCTCCTAAATTTGCCAAGAAATCCTGCTCCAAAAATTTAAGGAAATTCACAGCAACCTTCTTTCTCCCTTTCGGCTCCAACGGGGTCTTTTAAAACCTTGTTTGGAGAACTGGGCCCCGAGTTTCCTTTCTTCTCACGTTTCCCTTTCCCGTCTCCCTTTAAAACTCCTTGAAGGTCCAAACCAGCCCAGGGATTATTTCCAAACTTCCTCTGACCTACTTTGGAAGCTTTTTTAAGTTTAATTAAAAAAAATCAAAAAACCCCAGAGAAAAATGCTTCAAATAAATGAGATAAGACGAACGCGGCCAAAGCAGGTGTGGGGAATTCTGGATGGGCTAGTCGAGTTTCTCTTTGTCCTTCTCGCTTCAAACGAGAACGTGCATGGGGGTGGGTGGGGGGTTGGGAGGTATCCTTCCTTGCAGGGGTCTCTAGCAATGAGGGATGGTCCCTCTTTTCGACTTGGGAGAGAGAAGCTGGCCCTTTTTTTGAAAAGGAAGGACATGGCTCAAATAGAACATAGAATCATGGTTGCCCAGTCTCTTCTTGAAAAGCTCCAGTGATGGAGCATTCACAACTTCCTGGTTGCAAGCAGTTCCACTGGTTAATTGTCCTCACTGTCAGGAAGTTTCTCCTTAATCCCAAATTGTTTCCCTCCTTGATTAGTTTCCATCTATTGCCCTCCCTCTCTCTCTCTCTCTCTCCTTCCTTCCTTCCTTCCTTCCTTCCTTCCTTCCTTTCCTTCCTTCCTTTCCTTCCTTCCTTCCTTCCTTCTTTCTTTCCTTTCCTTCCTTTCTTCCTTCCTTTCCCTTCCTTCCTTCCTTCCTTCCTTCCCTTCCTTCCTTCTTTCCTTCCTTTCCTTCCTTCCTTTCTTTCCTTCCTTCCTTCCTATCCATCCATCCACCCATCCATCCATCCATCCATCGAATAAAAGAATAACAGAGTTAGAAGGGACCTGGGAGGTCTTCTAGTCCAACCCCTTGCTCAAGCAGGAGACCCCAGACAAGGGGCTCTCCAGTCTCTTCTTAAAATCCTCCAGTGATGGAGCAGCCACACCTCCCGCTGATCGATTAATTAATTAATTAATTAGCAGCATAACAGAGTTGGAAGGGGCCTAGAGGTGGAGCTCACTCCCCTCACAATCAGGAGGCTGTGAGTTCGATCCTAGGTAGAGGCAGATATTTCTCACTCTGGGCACAATGAGAATGTATCTGCTGGGGGGGGAAAAACTCCGCATTGGCGACCGGAAGGGCATCCAGCCAGTAAACACTCAGCTCCAATCAGTTGCCCCGATTCCAGCCCGCAAGGGATTACGGAGTCATTAAACGATGAAGAAATAAATAAATTGTTATTTATTTGGAAGGGACCTTGGAGGTCTTCTAGTCCAACCCCCTTCTCAGGCAGGAAACCCTATAGCATTCCAGACAAGTGGCAGTCCAATCTCTTCTTAAAAACCTCCAGTGATGAAGCTCCCACAACTTCCGCAGGCAAGTTCTTCCTGGAGTTAATTGTTCTCACTGTCGGGAGATTTCTCCTTAATTCTAGGTTGCTTCTCACCTTGATGGGTTTCCATCCATTGCTAACCACGAGACTAGCCATGCCCAGTTCCTGCAACCGTTCGTCGTATGTTTTAGCCTCCAATCCAGGGGTGAAATGCTCCCGGTTCGGATCGGATCGCCCAATCCGGTAGCGATCGAGGCGGGTGGTTCGGAGAAACGGTAGCAAAAATCCCTGCCCTCCCCCCACCCCATTGCCAGCTGAGCCGCGCAATCATCAGAGGCTGTTTTTTTAATTTTTAAAAGCATATTTTCTACAACCTCTTCGGCCGAAAAAATGCTTTTGAAAGTAAAAAAAAAAGCATCTGAGCTGGGATCATCAGAGGCTTTTTTTTTTAAAAAAAAAAGAAAGCCTCTGCCAATCAGGCAAGTCAGCTGGGATTGTCAGAGGCTTTTAAAAGCATTTTTTCTACAACTTCTTCGGCCGAAAAAATGCTTTTAAAAGTAAAAAAAAAAAGCCTCTGATGATTGACGCGGCTCAGCTGGGATCATCAGAGGCTTTTAAAAGCATTTTTTCTACAACCTCTTCGGCCGAAGAGGTTGTAGAAAAAATGCTTTTAAAAGTAAAAAAAAAAAGCCTCTGAGCTGGGATTGTCAAAGGCTTTTAAAAAAAAAAAGAAAGCCTCTGCTGATCAGGCAAGTCAGCTGGGATCGTCAGAGGCTTTTAAAAGCATTTTTTCTACAACCTCTTTGGCCGAAAAAATGCTTTTAAAAGTAAAAAGAAAAAAAGCCTCTGATGATGACGCGGCTCAGCTGGGATCATCAGAGGCTTTTAAAAGCATTTTTTCTACAACCTCTTCGGCCGAAGAGGTTATAGAAAAAATGTTTTTAAAAGGAAAAAAAGCCTCTGCCGATCAGGCAAGTCAGCTGGGATCGTCAGAGGCTTTTAAAAGCATTTTTTCTACAACCTCTTTGGCCGAAAAAATGCTTTTAAAAGTAAAAAAGAAAAAAAGCCTCTGATGATGACGCGGCTCAGCTGGGATCATCAGAGGCTTTTAAAAGCATTTTTTTCTACAACCTCTTCGGCCGAAGAGGTTATAGAAAAAATGTTTTTAAAAGGAAAAAAAGCCTCTGCCGATCAGGCAAATCAGCTGGGATCATCAGAGGCTTTTAAAAGCATTTTTTCTACAACCTCTCCGGCCGAAGAGGTTGTAGAAAAAATGGTTTTAAAAAGAGAAAAAAAAAAAGTTGGCCCACTCAGTCATATTAACCCCTCCCACCACAGAACCGGTACTAACAAATTTTACATTTCACCACTGCTCCAATCCTCTTGCTGCTCTTCTCTGCACTCTTTCTAGATCTATAACTGGGGTTTCGGATGATGGTTTGTTTCCCCAGAGCTTGTGGGATGGTTTCCAAAATGCTAAATGCCCCCCCACCCCCCCCACCCCGCTTACCTTTGGTGGCTCCAGCCGCCCCCAGGTGGCAAATGGCGCCCAGGACGAGCCAGAAGGCCTTCTGCTCCTCGCCGGAGATGCCCATCACCTTCATGGCCGCCTGCAGCTTGCTGAACTGCTGAGCTGCTTTCTGCTTCTCCTCCGGCTGCAACCAAAGAGGAAAAGAAAAGAAAAAACCAGTAAGAAAAAATTCAAGACTATTGTAAAAAAAACCTCCCGAAGTCTTTTTTTTTTTTTTTTTGTAGCGCCGCCCGCAAGGATGACAAGAGGGTTACTCCGCTAGAGCGGGGTTAGGCCGGGAGATCTCGCTCAGATCCTCTCCCGGCGGGGATGAAAAAGCAGGTAAGCCTTTAATTAAAACTCCGCGTAAACCCTTTAGACACGGGAAGAGAGGCTCCTCGACGACGCAGAGCGAGCCGGATGGCGCCGTGCGGGGAGAAGACACGGCTTCAGCGGAAAAAATCCTGGTAGATCGTCCCAAAGATTTCTGGGTCGATCGTCCCAGGACTTTCTGGGGTTTTTTTTCTTTTGAAGAGGTTTCTCTTCTCATCCAAGAAGCTTCTTCAGCTCTGCCCGAATGGTGGGGAAGGGAAGGATTGATATTCCTTGCAGACAGCTGGTCGTTTGCATCCTTTTAGAAGGTTCTTGAGGCCACTTGGAGGTTTACCTGTGCCCTCAGGGTCACCTGAGTGGTGCAAATGATTCCTGTGGCCTGCAATTTTTTCTTCTGGAAATCCATTTTTACTCCCACACCATTCCAAGGGGGCTCATCCCAAATTGTATGGCTAAAAGTCTGTAGAGATTCTCCGTCATCCATGGTTGTCCCAAAGGTGCTTCCTTCAGGAGGCAAATGGGCTTTTTGGTTTTTCTTTGAAGACATTTTGCTTCTCATCCAAGAAGCTTCTTCAGCTCTGACTGGATGATGGGGAAAGGAAGAATTTATACGCCTTGCAGACAGCTGGTCATTGGCATCCTTTTAGAGAGACGTTGAGGAAACCTGGGAGTTTTGTCTGTGTCCTCGGGGGTCACCTGAGAGGTGCAAATGGGTGTGGAACCTTCTCTGGGAAGGGGGAGGAATACAACTTCATCTACCTCTGGTCTTCAACACAGTCCTTTCAGCAGTTCCAAGGAGGCTCCACGCCCATTTGCACAAAATCAGAATTATGTGGGGGTCCTTGGTGGTCCCTGATCTTGGTTGTCTTTTGCACTGATCATGTTACCTAGCTGGGTCGTGAAAAGTCTGCAAGAAAACCACCAAGCTGAGAGACCACTTAGGACCCTACAGTCCTCCTCCTCTTCCTCCTCCTTCTCCTCCTCTTACCAAACCCCCTTCCCTTCCAGCACTGATAATGTTACCTAGTTGGATCATGAAACGTCTGCAAGAAAACAACCCAGCTCAGAGAGTATCAAGGACCCCGCAGTCCTTTTCCTCCCCCTCCTCCTCCTCCTTGCAGACAGCTGGTCATTTGCATCCATTTAGAGGGTCGTTGAGGCCACTTGGGGGTTTACCTGTGTCCTCAGGGTCACCTGAGTGGTGCAAATGGGGGTGGAGCCTTCTACAAGGCAGTCCTTTCAGCAGTTCCAAGAAGGTTCCACACTCATTTGCACCACTCAGGTGACCCTGAGGACACAGGTAAACCCCCAAGTGGCCTCAACGACCCTCTAAAACAGTGTTTCTCAACCTTGGAAGCTTGAAGATGGGTGGACTTCAACTCCCAGAATCCCCCAGCCAGCGTTGCTGGCTGGGGGATTCTGGGAGTTGAAGTCCACCCATCTTCAAGCTTCCAAGGTTGAGAAACACTGCTCTAAAAAGGATGCAAATTACCAGCTGTCTGCAAGGAGTATCAATCCTTCCATTCCCAACATCCAGTCAGAGCTGAAGAAGCTTCTTGGATGAGAAGAGAAACGTCTTCAAAAGAAAAAAAAAAACAGAAAGTCCAGTTGCCTCTTGGAAAAAAATGCATCTTTGGGACAACCAGGATTTGGATGACTGGAGAATCTCCATACACCTTTAGGCCTGGTATATATTGGTCAACATCAATCCCAGGTCTTGTCCCGCTCCTCAGCCAACCATGCCCCCCTTCCAAACAGCCCTGGTACCTTGGACAGAGGCACGATGCCGAAGACGTTGTTCTCAGCCAGGTGGTTGAAGTGAAGCTCCGTCCTGCAAAGAGAGGAGGAAGAGGAGAGGATGGTACCCGAAGTAACAGGTTGACCAGACCTGGGCATTTTATGCCCCCAGGCCACATCCGGCCCTTCGGTTATCCCTTTCCAGCTTCAGCTGGATTGTTTGACAAGTACTTCCGTAAAGTAGTTCTGATTTTACAGATAGTCCTCGACTTACAACATTGAGTGACCGTTCGGAGTTACACTGAGAAAAACTGACTCCGTTTTTCACAACGATGACCGTTGCAGGATGGTCACACGATAAAAAAATTCGGACGCTTGGCAACTGTGGTTCGTATTTACGACGGTGGCAGGGTCCCCGAGTTACGTGATCTCCTTTTGCGGCCTTCCAACAAAGCAATTGGGGGAAGCCGGAGTCGCTTAACGACCGTGTGACTCACTTAACAACTGCAGCAATCCACTTAACAGCCGTGCCAAGCAAGGTCGTAAAATGGGGTATTTTTTTAACCGCTGTCTTGCTTAGCAGCAGGAATTTTGAAACTTACAGCTTTGGTTGTAAGTAGAGGATTACCTGTATTTTGAAGGCAAACTGCTATTTTTTTTCCCCCAGTTTATGAATGTGTGTTTGTGAATGCCTATTCACGGCCATATTGATTTAGCCCTTTGCAATCATCCCATTTTCTGATGTCGCCCCTTGGGAAAATTAATTGCCCACCTTGGCGGAGACCAGGGGTGAAATGCTCCCAGTTCAGACCGGATCGCCTGATCTGGTAGCGATGGCGGCGGGTGGTTCAGAGAACCAGTAGTAAAAATCCCTGGCCCTCCCCCCATGCCCAGCTGAGCCGCACAATCATCAGAGGCTTTTTTTTTTTACTTTTAAAAGCATTTTTTCTACAACCTCTTCAGACAAAAAAATGCTTTTAAAAGTAAAAAAAAAGCCTCTGATGATTGCACGGCTCAGCTGGGATCAGAGGCTTTTAAAAGCATTTTTTTTACAACCCCTTCGGCCAAAGAGGTTGTAGAAAAAATGCTTTTAAAAGAAAAAAAAGCCTCTGACGATCAGGCAACTCAGCTGGGACCAGAGCGGCCCATTCAAGAAGGAGAGTGAGCGACTCCGGTACCTTTCAGGTTCTCCCAGCAGTGGGAGACAGGTGAGCAGTGGGAGTCCGGGGAATGGGGCGGGTGGCCGGAGCCGCGGGAGAAAGAAATTTAAAAAGTTTTCCTACTGGGTTCTGTGGGCGTGGCTTGGTGGAAGGGGTTTTTGGGGCTGAGTGGGCGTGGCTGTGAGTGACATCGAGTTGGCCACACCCACTCAGTCACAGGACACCCCCCCCACCAAGCCACGCCCACAGAACCGGTAGGGGAAAATTTTAGATTTCACCCCTGCCCTGAAGTCCACTAGCCCTAATATCCCACACCATGGACAACTTATGAAGGTGGACAAACCTTCCGGCAGGCGTAGAAGCACCCCAGATCCAAACAGGGTCACCCTGAAGACCCCCTCCTCCCACCCCTCCTTTCAAAGCACCCCGGTTTTTTGAGGTCTCCCCAAACGCTCAAAGACCTCGGGGGGGTCTCCTTACCGTAAGGCGTTGTCCGGGCAGGCCAGGAGATAGTAGAAGACGTTGAAGGTCGCCTCGTTGGAGGGGCGTTTGGCCACTCTGAGTTTCTCCAGCAACATAGTCTGAGGAAAGCAATTGGGAAAGAAGGTTGGGTGTGGGCACCAGCAGCCTCTGAGGGCAGCCCACTTTTTCCCCCAGCTTTGGATGGTGGGGGTGACTCTGTTGGACTTGGTCAACTGGTCTTCTCGCTCCAGGTTGTAGGAGGTGCTGGTTCTGTCCTTAGCAGCATCTCCGGACAAGACAGACAGCTGCCCGTCAAACTCAACCAATGTTCCTCAAACGTGCCTACTTTAAGGTTGGAGGACTCCAACTCCCAGAATCCCCCAGCCGGCAAGATTTAAGGTGGGTGGACTGCAACTCCCAGAATCCCCCAGCCACCATGATTTAAGATTGATGGACTCCAATTCCCAGAATCTCCCAGCCGGCATGATTGAAGGTGGATGGACTCCAATTCCCAGAATCCCCCAGCCGGCAAGATTTAAGGTGGGTGGACTGCAACTCCCAGAATCCCCCAGCTGCCATGATTTAAGATTGATGGACTCCAATTCCCAGAATCCCCCAGCCGACAAGATTTAAGGTGGGTGGACTGCAACTCCCAGAATCCCCCAGCCGCCATGATTTAAGATTGATGGACTCCAATTCCCAGAATCCCCCAGCCGACAAGATTTAAGGTGGGTGGACTGCAACTCCCAGAATCCCCCAGCCGCCATGATTTAAGATTGATGGACTCCAATTCCCAGAATCCCCCAGCCGGCATGATTGAAGGTGGGTGGACTGCAACTCCCAGAATCCCCCAGCCGCCATGATTTAAGATTGATGGACTCCAATTCCCAGAATCCCCCAGCCGGCATGATTGAAGGTGGGTTGACTGCAACTCCCCGAATCCCCCAGCTGCCATGATTTAAGATTGATGGACTCCAATTCCCAGAATCCCTCAGTTGGCATGATTTAAGATTGCGGGCTCAATTACGTTTGTAAGTCTACAAGTAGTCCTTGTCTTACAGCCGTTTGTTTAGTGACCATTTGAACTTACAATGGCGCTGAAAAAAGTAACATGACCATTTTTTATATGGATGACGGTTACAGCCTCCCCGTGTCACGGGATCAAAATCCAGCCACTTGGCAACTGGCAGGTACTTATGACGGTCACAGTGTCCCTGAGGGAGGGGGGGAAGTGTCACGTGATCCCCTTTTGGGACCATCTGACGAGCAAAGTCCACAGGGAAGCCGGATTCCCTTAACGACCGTGTGACTCACTTAACAACTGCAGGGATTCGCTTAAGAACCTTGGCCAGAAAGGTCCTAAAATGGGGACAAAACTCCCGTTATCAAATGCCTCGCTTAGCAACATAAATTCTGAGCTCCATTTTTTTGGCCGTAAATCAAGAATCACTTGCAACGCAGTTTTCGGCCCTTAGAAAGAACGACAGGTGAGCTAGAGAAGCCCAGAGACCCCCCCTGGCTCACCTGGACGGAAGCCGATGCCACCTGGCCGGCCTGGTCGAAGTCCAGGGAGATAATTTGGGAGAATCGGGTGGCATTGCTGTTCAGGCTGGTGCTGCTGTTTCCGAAGGCTTCCAGGATGGTGTAAAGGGCCTGCCACTTCTCCACTGCCCAGGACGAAAGAGAGTGGGGGGGGGACAGGAGGTGGGATTAGTGTGCGTGTGTGTGCACAGGCGTGGCTCCAGCCCAGAGCATGCTTGCACCCTCACCGGCCATTGCTGGGGTCTAGAGCAAGGGGTGTCCAACTTCGGTTGCTTCTAAGACTTGGGGGCTTCAACGCCCAGAATTCCCCAAGTGGCCAAAGTTGGAGACCCTCCCTCTCTCTCTCTCGAGGGATGCTGGAGATTCTGCCACTCAATCCAAAGGCACAGATGCACACCCACGGCTTCTCACAGACAGGAGTCACCCCTGGAGGGTTGCACTGTTGCACGCCAAATTCTTCTCTGGCATTATTTAGGCAAAACAGCCCTTCGAATTCTCAAGAGACACCAGGTGCACAACAGGAAGGGAGGGAGGGAGGAAGTGAAGGAGGGGAGAGAGGACAGAAGAAAGGAAGGAAGGAAGGAAGGAAGGAAGGAAGGAAGGAAGGAAGGAAGGAGGGAGGGAGGGAGGGAGGAAGGGAGGAAGGAAGATGAGAAGGAAGGAGAAGATGAGAAGGAAGGAAGGAGGGGGAAGGAAGGAAGGAAGGAAGGAAGGAAGGAAGGGAGGGAGGGAGAAGATGAGAAGGAAGGGAGGAAGGAGGAAGGAAGGAAGGGAAGATGAGAAGGAAAAAAAGGGAAGATGAGAAGGAAGGAAAGAGGGAGGGAGGGAAGGAGGAAGGAAGATGGGAAGGAAGGAGAGGATTGGAGGAAGAAAGGACGAAAGAGAGGGAGGGAGCCAACAAAAGAAGCAAGGAAGGGGAAAAGGGAGGGAGGGAGGGAGGGGAGAGAGGAAAGGAGGAAGGCAGGAAGGAGGGAGGGAGGGAGGAAGGAAGTTGAGAAGAAAGATGGGAAGGAAGGAGAGGATCGGAGGAAGAAAGGACGAAAGAGGAGAGGGAGGGAGCCAACAAAAGAAGCAAGGAAGGGGAAAAGGGAGGGAGGGAGGGAGGGAGGGAGAGAGGACAGAAGGAAGGAGGGAGGGAAGGAAGGAGGAAGGAAGGAAGGAGGGAGGGAGGGGAGATAGGAACGAAGGAAGGAAGGAAGGAAGGAAGAAAGGAAGGAAGGAAGGAAGGAAGGAAGGAAGGAAGGAAGGAAGGAAGGAAGGAAGAAAGAAAGAAAGAAAGAAAGAAAACGAGCTCTCTGCTGCAGATCTTCCCTCCTTCCCAGCTGGCTTTCTTTGGCCCCAACCTCAGTGGATTCCCAACCCCGCTAGGCCTCCCCTTCCCCCCCTCCTCCCCCTCCCTCCGACTGACCCACCTGAGAAGACCTTCCCGGAGCTGCCGGCGATGGTGGCCAGGTACTGGACCAGGTGCTGGCAGTTGGTGCTCTTCCCGCTGCCGCTGCTGCCCAGGAAGACGATGGACTGGTCTTGGCGGCTCATCAGCATGGCCCGATAGGCCGCCTGGGCCATGGCGTAAATGTGCGGGGAGGTGTCCTCCTTCCGGCACCCCTTGAACATGTGCATCACCTGGGGAAAGCAGCCGGCTTAGTACGGGTATGTGTGTGTGTGTGTCCTCGACTTACGACCGTTCGTTTAGTGGCTGTCCGAAGTTATAGCAGGACTGAAAAATGGCGATTTAAGGACGTGGTCAGGTGTATCAAAATCCAGATGCTCGGCAACTGACTCGTACTTATGACGTGTCCCCAGGGTCACGGGATCCCCTTTGGCGGCCTTCCATCCACAAAGTCAACGGGGGGGAAGTTGGATTCCCTTAATGACGGCGTGACTAACTTGTCGGCCGTACGGATTCCCTTTAACAACGGGGGGGGGGAGGAAGGTCGTAATACAGAGGCAAAGCTCACTTAGCAACCGTCTCGCTTAGCAACACACATCCGGGGCTCCGCTGCGGTCACAAGTCGAGGACCGCCTGCGTTACGTCCTCTGTGGGGAGAGAGGGGGGGGTCCCCATACCCACCTTCTCCGAGTACATGGATGGAGAGCTGAGAGGGTTAATGACGACCAGGTTGGGCCCGGCGTAGGTGTGAATGAGGTTGCCACCATAGCGCTGGCGGAGGGTGTGAAGGGCACTGGACTCGTTGAGGTAGACCAGGTTGGCCAGCTCCTCCAACCGGTCGCAGGACGGAGGATTGGCCTGATTTGAAGGGGGAAAAAATAGAGGTTAGTTTGGACAAGACCAGGATTTTGCTACAGAATCATATCATCCTAGGGTTGGAAGGCACCTTAGAGGTCTTCTAGTCCAGCCCTCTGCTCAAGTAGGAGACCATAAACCATTTCAGGTAAGTGGCTGTCCAGTCTCTTCTTAAACAGCCTCCAGTGATGGAGCACCCACAACTTCTGGTGGCAAGCTGTTCCACTGGTTAATTGTCCTCACTGCTAGGAAGTTTCTCCTTGGTTCTGGTGCTTTGGAGAATAGCTTGACCCCCTCTTCTTTGGGGCAGCCCCTCAAATATTGGAACTCTGCTATCATGTCTCTCCTGGTCCTTCTTTTCATTAAACTAGACATACCCAATTCCTGCAACTGTTCTTCGTATTATAACAGAATATAATATAATATATCCCGCCCTGAGTCTTCGGAGAGGGGCGGCATATAAATTTAATTAAATTAATTAAATTAATTAAATTATAACACAATAACAGAGCTGGAAGGGATTTTGGAGGTCCTAGTCCAGCCCCTGCTCAATACTATCCCTGTCAATTCAGTCTTTCCTTTAAAAACTTCCATTTTGGAGCATTCACAATTCCTTGACTAATTTCCATCCGTTCTTTCTTGTCCTGCCTTCAGGGGCTTTGGAAGGTAGGTTGATCCCCTCTTCTTGGTGGCAGCCCCCCAAATATTGAAAGAGACTATCATTTCGCCAGATGGGCTGAATCGGTAGGGGGATTCTAAATATTTCGTAATTTTAATTTGATTTTTAATTATTTTAAATTGATTTTAACTGTTGATGTCATTCTCTTGTCGTTTTTGTAAGCCGCCCTGAGGCCGACGGGAGGAGGGCGGCATATAAATTACATAAATAAATAAATAAATAAATAAATAAATAAATAAATAAATAAATAAATAAATAACTCCCCTGGTCCTTCTGTTCATTTAACAAGCATATTTTAATCATCTTTTTATTCCTGCCTCTTGGAGAAATCAGGAAATTCCTCCTTAATTCCAGGTTGTTTCTCTCCTTGATTGGTTTCCATCCGTTGCTTCTTGTCCTGCCTTCAGGGGCTTTGGAGAATAAGTTGAAACCCCCCCCTCTTCTTTGGGGCAGCCCCTCAAATACTGAAAGAAGCTGTCATGTCCCCCTAATTCTTCTTTTCTCTAGACTATTTATTTATTTATTTATTATATTTCTATACCGCCTTTCTCCCGTAGGACTCAAGGCGGTGTACAGTCAAGAAAAATATAGACACACAAACATCATAAAATTGCTAATTAAAATTATTACTTAGTTTGGTCAATTAAATAATAATAATAAATTATTTAATAATTATTAAATAATAATTAGACTAGCCAGGCCCAGTTCCTGCAACTGTTCTTCGTATGTTTTAGCCTCCAGTCCCCTAATCGTCTTTCTTGCTCTTCTCTGCACTCTTTCTAGAGTCTCAACATCTTTTTATATATATATATTTATATCAGGGGTGGATTCTAATTTTTTTTACTAACAGTTCTGTGGGCGTGGCTTGGTGAGGGTAATGTGACTGGGTGGGCGTGGCCAACTTTTTTTTTTTTTTTAACTTTTAAAAGCATTTTTTTCTACAACCTTAAGAGGTTGCAGAAAAAAAAAATGCTTTTAGAAGCCTCTGACGATCAGGCAACTCAGCTGGGATCGCCAGAGGCTTTTAAAGGCATTTTTCTTTCCTACAACCTCTTCGGCCGAAGAGGTTGTAGAAAAAATGCTTTTAAAAGTGTAAAAAAAAAAAAAGCCTCAGATGAGGAGGGTGGGGTAGGCGACCGGCGAGCGGGCCGGGGACCGGTTCGGGGAGGTGGCCAGCTAATGTTATCGGTTCCCCGAACTACTACAAATTTTTACTACCGATTCCTGCGAACTGGGAGCAACCCACCACTGATTTATATACTGCTGTGCTCTAAATCACTCTAGGTGGTGGTGGGGGGTTTAATCCCACCCTCACTTCCCCCAGGGTGCAAACACCCCAGACCCCAGACAACATGGACATTCTGGTATGCTTGAGACAAACGCATGTCCATCATTCGGCAAAGAAGTGAAAAAATGAAATGAAATAAAAATAAGCAAAGATTTAAGAACAACCACCTCCTAAGGCCGTGATGGCGAACCTATGGCACGTGTGCCACACGTGGCACGCAGAGCCATATCGGTGGGCATATGAGCTCAGCTCCGGCACACATGTGCATGCTGGCCAGCTGATTTTCGGGCCTCCTGGGCCCACTGGAAGTCAGCAAACAGGCCGTTTCCGGCCCCCAGAAGGCCTCCGGGGGGGGCTGTTTTCGCCCTCCCAGGCTCCTAGAAAGGCTCTGGAGCCTGGGGAGGGCAAAAAAAACCAGGCCTACCGGGCCCATTGGGTGCACAGGGGTGGGGCACATAGAATTATGGGTGTGGGCACACGTGCGTGCGCCCCCCCCCCCCGGCGCTTCCCCCGCTTTTGGCACTCGATGGCAAAAAGGTTAGCCATCACTGTCCTAAGGTAATCAAGAAATTCATAAATTAGAAGGGGGGGGGAAGGGTGGATTTGATGGACTCAGGGGGTCCCTTTTTCTGCTGTTCGTTTTCTATTTTCCTTTTTGTTTAATTTCTTTTTGTCTCATGGCTTGGGAGACCTGGCCCAGCTTCCCCCTCCTACCTTTTCAATGTCATCTTCCTCCACTTCCAGAACGGCCCCATCATAGTCCAGTTTCACTTTCACTTTTCCCTCCGGTAAGAGGCTGGCAGTGTCACTCTTCAGCTGGCTCGCTGGGAAAGCAGAGAGAGAGAGAAGGTGAGGGGCCACGAAGTCCACTAGGGCAGGGGTCTCCAACCTTGGCAACTTTAAGACTTGTGGACTTCAGCTCCCAGAATTCCTCAGCCAGCAAAGCTGGGAGTTGAAGTCCACAAGTCTTAAAGCAAAGCCAGCTGAGGATTCTGGGAGTTGAAGTCCACAAGTCTTAAAAGCTTTGTGGGCTGAGGAATTCTGGGAGTGGAAGTCCACAAGTCTTCAAGCAAAGCTGGCTGAGGAATTCTGGGAGTTGAAGTCCACAAGTCTTAAAGCAAAGCCAGCTGAGGATTCTGGGAGTTGAAGTCCACAAGTCTTCAAGCAAAGCCGGCTGAGGGATTCTGGGAGTTGAAGTCCACAAGTCTTCAAGCAAAGCTGGCTGAGGGATTCTGGGAGTTGAAGTCCACAAGTCTTCAAGCAAAGCTGGCTGAGGGATTCTGGGAGTTGAAGTCCACAAGTCTTAAAAGCTTTGCTGGCTGAGGGATTCTGGGAGTTGAAGTCCACAAGTCTTAAAAGCTTTGTTGGCTGAGGAATTCTGGGAGTTGAAGTCCACAAGTCTTAAAAGCTTTGCTGGCTGAGGGATTCTGGGAGTTGAAGTCCACAAGTCTTAAAGCAAAGCCAGCTGAGGATTCTGGGAGTTGAAGTCCACAAGTCTTAAAAGCTTTGTTGGCTGAGGAATTCTGGGAGTTGAAGTCCACAAGTCTTAAAGCTTTGCTGGCTGAGGGATTCTGGGAGTTGAAGTCCACAAGTCTTAAAAGCTTTGCTGGCTGAGGGATTCTGGGAGTTGAAGTCCACAAGTCTTAAAAGCTTTGTTGGCTGAGGAATTCTGGGAGTTGAAGTCCACAAGTCTTAAAAGCTTTGCTGGCTGAGGGATTCTGGGAGTTGAAGTCCACAAGTCTTAAAGCAAAGCCAGCTGAGGATTCTGGGAGTTGAAGTCCACAAGTCTTAAAAGCTTTGTTGGCTGAGGAATTCTGGGAGTTGAAGTCCACAAGTCTTAAAGCTTTGCTGGCTGAGGGATTCTGGGAGTTGAAGTCCACAAGTCTTAAAAGCTTTGCTGGCTGAGGGATTCTGGGAGCTGAAGTCCACAAGTCTTAAAGTTGCCAAGGTTGGAGACCCCTGGTCCAGAGACAAGCCAGACAGACCCTTGCCCACACAAACCCACCCACTTCTGGCTCACAAACAGGGCAGTGCTGCCACCTGCTGGCCCAACGACACAAAGGCAGCATTGTGACACCACCACCCCTCCCCATCCCACCCCTCCCTCCCCACAGACCCCTCCCCAAAACTAGCACCCCATCCTAAAGCCATGAATGTTAGAAACAGCAAAAGAAAAGTCAAAACGCTTTTCCTGCGCTTCCTTTTTTTTTTTTTTTAATGATTTAAAAAGTTTGGCTTGGTTTTTTTTTTATTGTTGCAAAATTTGTGATATTTAATAAAATTACTATTTTTTTTTTAAAAAGATTTGGGGCTCTGCCAAACCATCAGTTGCCCCCTAGAAGAGATGTCTATTGGGATTCTCCAGTCATCCAGGTCATAGCTGCCCCAAAAATGCTTTATTCTTTCAAGAGGCAATTGGACTTTCTGGGTTTTCTTTTGAAGAGGTTTCTCTTCTCATCCCAGAAGCTTCTTCAGTTCTGACTGGATGGTGGGGAAGGGAAGGATCTACACTCCTTGCAGACAAGCTGGTCATTGGCATCCTTTTTAGAGCAGTGTTTCTCAACCTTGGAAGCTTGAAGAGGGGTGGACTTCAACTCCCAGAATCCCCCAGCCAGCGCTGCTGGCTGGGGATTCTGGGAGTTGAAGTCCACCCCTCTTCAAGCTACCAAGGTTGAGAAACCCTGTTTTAGAGGGTCGTTGAGGCCACTGGGGGTTTACCTGTGTCCTCAGAGTCACCTGAGTGGTGCAAATGAATGTGGAACCTTCTTGGAACTGCTGAAAGGACTGCCTTGTAGAAGGCTCCACCCCCATTTGCACCACTCAGGTGACCCTGAGGACACAGGTAAACCCCCAAGTGGCCTCAACGACCCTCTAAATGGATGCAAATGACCAGCTGTCTGCAAGGAGGAGGAGGAGGGGGAGGAAAAGGACTGCAGGATCCTTGATACTCTCTGAGCCGGGTTGTTTTCTTACAGACGTTTCATGACCCAACTAGGTAACATTATCAGTGCTGGAAGGGAAGAGGAGGAGAACTATAGGGTCCTAAGTGGTCTCAGCCTGGTAGTTTTCTTGCAGATTTTTCACGACCTGGCTAGGTAACATGATCAGTGCAAAAGACAACCGAGATCAGGGACCCCCAAGGACCCCCACATAATTCCGATTTTTACAAGGCCGCTTTCCCCTTCCTCCCCCCCCCCCCCCACCGATCCACAGGATCATTTCAGGGAGAGGAAATCCACCCTTCCGGGGTCTCAAAGAAACCCGTTTTGTATTTTCACGTCCCCACAACATGGAAACTAACTAACTTCAGTCACCCCACTCGCCTCGCAGATCACTCTGCTCCCCTCCCACCCAAAAATTGAAACGAAACGTTCTATGGGGATGCCGAGAGCCCCCAGGCGTCTCCCCAAAGACCCCCCTCAGCCCCCCACCACCACAGAAGACCCCTGGACTCACCCAAGGAGAAGCCATCTTTGTGAACCAGCCACACCTTCTCCGTCTCGTACCAGGCCTCTTCGGCGGCAATTTGCTCCTCCGTCTTGGCCTGCCGTGGGGGGGGGGTTGGGGGAACAGAAACAGAGATGTTAAGGACCCAGTCTTTCCAGCTAGTCCTCGACTTACGAGAGTTCGTTTAGTGGCCATCCGAAGTAACGGCGGCACTGAAGAATGTGACTTACGACCGTTTTTTTCCACCGTTACGACTTTTGCAGGATTCCCGCGCAGTCAACATCGTCCGTATTCGGACGCTCGGCAACCGGTTCGTATTTATGACCGTCGCCGTGTTCTGGGGTGGGGGGAATAGGGGTGTCCTTTTCCAACAAGGGCGACCTTTTCTGACAAGCCAAGTCGAGGGGGAAGTCTGATTCGCTTAACGACCTGGTTACGGATGTATTGACTGCAGTGATGCGCTTAAGAACCGAGGGTGAGAAAAGTCGTAACGGGGGTGGGTGGGGGGCAAAGCTCGCTTAAGAAATGTCTCGCTTGGCGATGGAAATGTTGGGCTCGATGGCGGTCGTAAGTCGAGGACTCCGTGTACTTTAAGACACCACACGGACACACAAATCGCTTCTCGGCTTCACCATGGATCCGTCCACTGATCCCATCCTGCACACTCTTTCCATCACTGGACATCTGACGGGTGTGCAACTCTTGAATTTCTACCCCCTTCATCTGTCCTTTGGTGGAATACACACACACACACACACACACACACACACACACACACAGGGTGTGTGACAATGAGGGCGAGGGGATTTTGGTTGCCGTTGTTCTCTTTCACCTTTCCAAAAAGGGCATCCAAAAAGGGAGGGAAAGTACCGTATTTTTCAGAGTATAAGACACACCTTTCCCCCCCCCAAAAAAGAGGGTGAAAATCTGGGTGCATCTTATACTCCGAATGTAGCCCCACCCAGCCTCTCAAACAGAGGTTTCAGAGGCTGAAAAAAGCCTCAGAAACAAAGCTTCAGAAAAAAAAGCCTCTGAAAAAAAGCCTCAGAAAAAAAGCCTCCAAACAGTTTCAGAAAAAAAAGCCTCTGAAACAAAGTTTCAGAGGCTTTTTTTCTGAAGCTCTGTTTCAGAGGCTTTCAGAGGCAGAAAAAAAAGTTTTTCCTGAAACAGTTTCAGAAGTTTCAGAGGCAGAAAAAAAAAGCAAGGCACAGAGCTCACAACCAAGGAACCTGTTGCTAAAATTCTCCTCTGGGAACAGCTGATTGGGGGCATTCCGGGAGGTTGATCTACCTGCCAATCAGCTGTTTTCTTATTTTCCTCCCCAAAAACTAAGGTGCATCTTATACTCTGAAAAATACGGTATGTGGCGTGCATTGCCAACCTTCCTGAGAGAGGCAGGTGGCCAGCGATGCCTGGACACCTGCCTCTCTTGAGCCTGGACTCACCTGGGGAGAAAGGAGGAAGCAAGCCAGGTGTCCTCTCAGGAGGTCAACCGAAAGCCCCCCTCTCTCTGGGTGCTCTGACCTCTCTCCCAGGTATGTATTGTATTATGGAGTTTGTCCTCAGCCAACATGGGACTTTGCAGCTGGGGAAAGGTGGAAGGAAGGAGGCCAGATCCAAGGAGAAGCTGAGAAGATCCTTCCTGGTCATGAAGTCTACCAGGGTGGGATGGAAGGTTAGCTTCCTAGCACCAACTGGAGGTCAGCTCCAAGAAGAAGGTGGGAAGTCCCTTTACAGTAATGGTCTACCAGGGTGGAAGGTTAAGTTCTCAGCATCTGGTTGGAGGCCAACTCCAAGGAAAAGGTGAGAAGACTCTTTCCCAGTTATGAAGTCTACCAGGGTGGAAGGTTAAATTCTTAGCACCCTGGTTGGAGGCCATCTTCAAGCAGAAGATGAGAACACCATTTCTGGTCCTGAAGTTTACCAGGGTGAGATGGAAAGTTAGGTTCTTAGTACCCTGGTTGGAGGCCTGCTCCAAAGAGAAGGCAGGATGACTCTTTCGATCATGACGTCTACTGGGATGGGATGGAAGGTCAGGTTGTCGCACCCTGGTTGGAGACCAGCTTCTAGGAGAAGGTGAGGAGACCCTTTCCAGTCATGAAGTCTACCAGGGTGGGATGGAAGGTTAGGTTCCTAGCACCAACTGGAGGTCAGCTCCAAGAAGAAGGTGGGAAGACCCTTTCTGGTCATGTCTACCAAGATGAGATGAAAAGATTGGAGGACAGCTCCAACAAGACCCTTTCTGGTCCAGAAGTCTACCAGTGTGGGATGAAAGCACCCTGATTGGAGGCCAGCTCCAAGGAAAAGGTGAGAAGACCTATCCCAGTTATGAAGTCTACCAGGGTGGAAGATTAGGTTCTCAGCATCTGGTTGGAGGCCAACTCCAACCAAAAAATGAGAAGACTCTTTCTGGTCCTGAAGTTTACCCTGGTCGAATAGAAAGTTAGGTTCTTAATACCCTGGTTGGAGGCCTGCTCCAAAGAGAAGGCGGGATGACTCTTTCGGTCATGGATGGGATGGAAGGTCAGGTTCTCGGCACCCTGGTTGAAAATCCAGCTCCATCTGAAAGCTTATTATCCTGTGGCCTGGAAAGCCTACCCCTCTCTTGGCACCATAAAAGGATGATGGAAACTGGCCCATCACCAACCTTCAAAGTTCACGAGAGGCTTATAATCATCATTTCAACAGCACTGTTAAGTGCCGAGTTCCCTGGCAGAAGGAAATGGCTTCACAATGCAACACACACACACACACACTCTCACACACACCTATCACCCACCCACCCAAGACTGGGTTTGCAAACAGCCACGCCTACTCTGCCGACGCCCCACCCCTCCAAGCTGTGAGTTTCAGGGTTTGCTCTGCTCAGAGAGAAGTCCAAGGGTCTCAGGCTGTAGAAGGGGTTTCCTCAACCTTGGGAACAGGACAGTAGTGTTGGAAGGGACCTTGGAGGTCTTCTAGTCCAACCAGCTCAGGCAGGAAACCCTGGCCTGTAACATTTCTGACAAATGGTGGTCCAATCTCTTCTGGAAAACCTCCTGTGATGGAGCACCCACAACTTCTGGTGGCAAGCTGTCCCACTGGTTAATCGTTCTCCCTGTCAGGAAATTCCTCCTTAGTTGTACGTTGCTTCTCTCCTTGATGGGTTTCCATCCGTTGCTTCTTGAACTGCCTTCAAATCCCAGAACTCCCCAGCCATCTAGGCTGGGAGTTGAAGCCCACTCCTCTTGATGTTCCCAAGGGTGAGAAATCCCACTGTAGAATGTGAGAAGAAATCTGGAGAGATGGCATCAGAGCTGCTTGGCGAGGGGAAGGGGACCCATAATCCCCTCCCAAATAGGCTACCCAGCATCGGAGTCGCCTTCCTCTCCATGGCTTGTCCCATCCGTGTTCTCTGCAGGCACCAAAGCAACAGGCCAAGCAGGCTACAAGGGCGTGTTTTGGGGAGCCAAGCACCCAGGAGGTGGGTTTTCTGGAGAGCATCTAGAGGTGCTCAGATGGCCAACGGACCGGGCCTTTCTCTTCCATCGAGCCTTGAGTCTTGATCCCTAAGGGAGAGTCTTCGGCTTGGCCTTTACGGATGAGTGTTGGTGACCAGCTGAACACAACTTCTGTGTTAGTCTCTAAAGGGCCCAGCTGGGTTGCTCACACACCACACAATCACACAAAAGCCTTGCCCTGGCCACGCTCTGGAATCAAAATCTCTCTCTCTCCACCATCACCCCCTCTCTCTATCTCTCCATCGCTCTCTCAACAAATAAATAAATAAATATGTATCTATGTACAGTATGTATGTATGTATGTATATGTGCGTATATGTATATATATGTAAATATATATGTGTGTGTGTGTATACAGTATCTATATATATATATAATAGATACTAATAAAAGATATAAATGATGATAAATATTAGATAATAGATAAATGTCAGATAGACAGATAGATGTAGACAGACAGACAGAGATTAGGTAGATAAATACATGAGAGATAGATATATAGATGATAGACAAATATCTACCTACCTATCCATCCATCCATCCATCTATTCTAGCATCCATCCATCCATCCATCCATCCATCCATCTATTCTAGCATCCATCCATCCATCCATTCATCCATCTATCCATCCATCCATCCATCCATTCATCCATCTATCCATCCATCCATCTATTCTAGCATCCATCCATCCATCCATCCATCCATCCATCCATCTATTCTAGCATCCATCCATCCATCCATCCATTCATCCATCTATCCATCCATCCATCCATTCATCCATCCATCCATCTATTCTAGCATCCATCCATCCATCCATTCATCCATCTATCCATCCATCCATCCATCCATTCATCCATCTATCCATCCATCCATCTATTCTAGCATCCATCCATCCATCCATCCATCCATCCATCCATTCTAGCATCCATCCATCCATCCATTCATCCATCTATCCATCCATCCATCCATCCATCCATCCATCCATCCATCCATTCATCCATCTATCCATCCATCCATCCATCCATCCATCCATCCATCCATCCATCTATTCTGGCATCCATCCATCCATCCATCCATCCATCCATCCATCCATCCATCCATTCATCCATCTATCCATCCATCCAAGCATCCATCCATCCATCCATCCAAGCATCCATCCATCCATCCATCCATCCATTCTAGCATCCATCCATCCATCCATCCATCCATTCTAGCATCCATCCATCCATTCATCCATCTATCCGTCTATTCTAGCATCCATCCATCCATCCATCCATCCATCCATCCAAGCATCCATCCATCCATCCATCCATCCATCCATCCATCCATCCATCCATCCATCCAAGCATCCATCCATCCATCCATCCATCCATCCATCCATCCATTCTAGCATCCATCCATCCATCCATCCATCCAAGCATCCATCCATCCATCCATCCATCCATCCATCCATCCATCCAAGCATCCATCCATCCATCCATCCATCCATCCATCCATTCTAGCATCCATCCATCCATCCATTCAAGCATCCATCCATCCATCCATCCATTCTAGCATCCATCCATCCATCCATCCATCCATCCATCCATCTATTCTA